GTTTCCCTCTCCACTTTGGGGTCGCTCTGCAGCTAAGCTACCACTGCGAAGCGCTCTTAGCACCAGTTTAATTCCGGAGTTTGCCTTTAACCATATGATATGAATTGCAGAACACATTACCCACATTAAGTGCGAGCTGTGCCGGTCAAAGATGTTCTAAGAAAAACTGTCTGTGCAAACCTTTTGTCGGCGATAACTAGCTTCCTTGAAACGTGTTGAATAGTTGTTGCGTTTTCTTTCTTTCCACTTTGAGGACTCTTCAAAATAACACAAAATTAGAAAAACTGTAGTTTCTCTGCATATAGGTATAATCCAAGCAGGTTACCTTGCCACCATTGAGTAGCATACTCATAGGCATTGGAGGTCGCTCAGTTCCTACATCTTCAATACCAACAACTGACCCGATTCCATGACCGGTTTGTCGCCGTGCTCTGAAAATAGATATTTATTGAGGCTAGATAGATATTATGGGCTTGATAAAGCCGAACATACCGTGAGCTGGCTCCGAGTATTGGCTGGAACATAAGAGTCCTTGACACAACCTGTCTTCCACCCGAGCCGGGAATTCCCTGAACTGTTTGATCCACAAGCTTCCAACCAGGTGGGAGTCCCTCAACGCTGATCTGAACAATGATTATCGTTGCGATGATCACTTATATAAAAGTAGTCAACAATCACTTACCGATTTCTCTTTTGGGCTTGACTGCTCCCTAGCCACAGCTTCTTTGTATCCTGAAGGCAGATCTATCTTGTCACACTCGGGCTGTCCCAATGTTCCGCAAACCTTAATGTCACAATGTTACTGGATTGAATTCAATTTGAGCACTAATATTTTTTGTTATTGAAACGACTTTTAGTGATGTGGCTTAAAGGCAAAGTTCGGGCTCAGACCCACCTAATGAGCCCTTAAAGTGGCTAGAAGCGCATGGGACGCAACTGCAGGCGACTCGCCAAGTTCCCGCATCGAAATGCGTCACTAAGGCGCTAGGGGCCAAGGACTTTGACACGCTCCACCTGTTGCGACACGCTCCGCCCACCGCTCGATATCTTGTCTGCGTCGCAATGTTGATCTGCTATGCTCTCTCTTCTCGGACTTCTCTACCGCTCTCCGCGCTCACATTATCTCTCATCTCCCTGCCGGCCTTTTGAACTTCTCCGCAGCGTAGAGCAAAAGGCTCGTATTTCCTGTGTATTTCACGATTTTTTTTTCCTTTTTTCTCCACTGGCGGTCCACCTCCCACCCCTACACATTTGAGTAGAATTACCTCATCAGTTTAAGCTTGAATCTTGCCTTTAAGGCGTGGTGCCCACGACTGGGAAGCGTAGCCTGAAGACGTCTTCTTGGAATAGCGTGGGTGTGTGGCAAGAAACCGATGTCGAAAGGCGATGAATTAGGCTAAAACGAGTTGTCAGCTGCGGCCCATATAGTGGGTAGGGTTAGCACAAAGGTATCGTAAAGTGAGAAAAAATTTTCTTCTAGGAACCCGATGAGACTTGGCTTAGCACCAAAGTGGCGTATGGCTCACATTTTGGCTTGTGCAATAGTTGGGTTAGCCAATGTTCACAGCTCCCGTTCCAAACATTAACGCTACAGGCGCCACGATAAGTTAAAGGAGATTCCACGACAAGTAACGAAGGTCGAAGAAGGGGAAATTTAGTGGGGAGACAGGCGGACCTCCTGAGGGTGCGACCGACGCGCAATTGGCAGCGAAAGATTTGACCTCGGCGATCTAGCATGGCTCACTCTTGGCGCGGTTGGCGGGGTACGCCCACCGACCGCAAATCTATACGCGGTGAGTGATTAGATAGCAGAGAGAGCGTAGCGTTGAAGAGGGCACAGCGATGAAGTCGCATCAATGCGGTCAACGGGCAAGGAAGGGGTCCCATTTCTCGGGTTCTGGGCCGTTTCTCATGGTTTTTCCTTCTTTCGTGTACCACTCACCATCCCTAACTTAATTTGAAATGGGTTGCTTTTTCATCGTAGATCCTGCCTTTCAGGTGGGAAACCTCTACGCTATCAACAGACTACATCTACTTTCCTCAAAAGATGGCTTTAGTGCTTGCAACAAGAGAAACTTTGTGGCTTTCTCACTTGTGCTGCTGTGGGTCACGGGTGTTGCACATTAGGCAGTAGACTATATTCATGCCTAGCGTGTCTGCGTCTCACTTATCTCCATCTTTCTCTTATGCTCTCGCTCCCAGTGCCTAATATCTCTTTGGCAACCCGTTCACCAAAAATGAAAACCCTTTTCTCTCACAGACTCCGTTTTTTCCTTCACATAATCCAATTTGCACTTTTACGGTCACTCAACAACAATCACCTAAGTAACCATTTCGTGGACATTTAATTGACCATGGAGGAAAACGAACAGATTGATCAATACAACCTCTGATCTTTAGGTACTACTATCTTTTGCTTCGGGTACTGTACTGTTTGTTTTCAGTCATTTTCTTCCTTTAGTAATCGAGATCAACTCACAGTTTCCCTGTAGAACACTGAACTTCCTTTCGCAAGACACTGAGCCTTCACATGGTCGACCACAATGCTTTCTCCCAACTTCAGATTCATTTTACCTTCGGTGACGCACCCTAAAGTATACTTTTTACATCAATTCATAGACTGTATCGCTATTTGTTGGCTTGCATTATCTCTATCGATATAAATATATAAAATTCACTGTGTGAGCTTGTGTACATAGTTGGATGGGTCAAAACGGGTATATGTCTGTTTCCTCGGCTTTTCGAGTTCTAGAAAATAGAGGGACCAATTTCAAAAGAGGCAGAAACACAGGTGAAAATTTCTGCCTCACTTGAAACTATGACCGTCACACATATCATGGGTGGCACCAGCTGCAGTGAACCACTTATATACTGGACCACGCTCAAGGAAAGACTTTTGAGGGAGATGTAATTTTCTGTTACCCTAGCTTCTCGCCTCTCCGCTCAGCCTCCCCGTCACCATACCACGGTTTTGAAATGTCCTGTACTCCCCTCCTAAAATCCGTGAGCGCCCCTTGACATCTGTAAAAATTGAGCTCTGTCATATCGCTACAGGGAAGTCAAAATCAGTAAAATCCACAAGTGGAGGTTTAGAAGGGAAATTGGTCCAAGATTAACCGTTCCGCCCAATTAGTGCTAGCGCGCCTATCATCATAATTTTACTTTTGTAATATCACAATAATATTAAAAGCGTTGTCAGAAGATTTCAAAACTTGCCTTCTATTGAGTAAACACCATATTTTTGGCATTTGTAACGTAAATGACCAATTACGAATTCCTCGCCCTCTTTGTAGGTTTTTCCATTTTTGCAGCATTCCTAAAAAAATTCTTCTATGTTTATTCCCTACATTTTCCTTTTCATTTCCTCTGATAAAATATGTGATTTGCAGCGACCGATCGCAAACCCCAGCCTTCAACTTCAACAAAATACAATGCCAAAACCTATGCTGTGCCTAGTTATTGCGAGGCGATCCCGTACGCTGGCGTGACAGTTGGGTGTATATTGTCTTGCCTCTATCCTTACAGTTCGCAAGATAAGAGCATTCACATCATCTTCGTTGAATGTTTTCTCTCGAGTCAACACACAAAGATGTCAAATGGATTTCATTTTTCGGCTTGAACAGTCAGATTTTCTAGAATTGTTTCAAATCAAACAGACGCGCGAAACAGTGAGGATTGTCTGAACGGATAAAAATTACAATTCAATGTCTTATGTAATGTTATTTTTCGATGAGGTAGCGATAGTAAAGTATTGTAAAAACAAAGAATGATGGGGAGAAACTTTTGTACCGGCTAAGAATTCCAATTTTCAAGTAAGTCAAAGCGTTGACCGCTTGTTTCTTGGGGCCGCATGTACATCTTGCCTCCGAAGCGAAAAACTTCGTTCGCCTTTTGGACCAATCAGAAGAATCGTGATCATGGGAAACTTCGATGTCTCATGAAGTAAATTAGTCAGTTGGAAGTTGCAAGGTAAGTTCTTCAAGGTAATTGAGAACAGATAGTACAACTGAGCGGACGATCAAAAAAAGAAGATTACTGTAGGTGAAAGGAAATTACCAAATAATCTTCGAGCAATAAAATGAACGATTCAACATTGCACAATGTGAAACCTTTTCCTCCCTCCTCGGTTCCACGATAAGTGAAGGCTGAAGAACGACAAAGAAAGGGAGGCAGGCCTTCGAAGGCTGTGGAATGATACGCGTTTTGTTGCGAAGGGTGTCCTCTAGACAGAGCTACTGGTGGCGCTCGCGGCTCTACACGCCCACCGACTGGCTAATCCTTTACTGTTGTACTCTAGCCGCGGACACTAGCTTTCTTATCAAAGAGGCAGAACATAGAGTTCAACTTGAAGGCCTCCTATTTAGGGGGTTTCAGGCCCTTTTTCTTCACCTTTGCGTCATTCACCATGTTTTTTTTTCATTATCAATGGGCGAGCAATCCATAGTAAAATCTGCCTTCTGTCAGGAGTTCCAGCTTGTGGCTGCATGCAGATTTCCCAGCTGGTTGGCTGAGCCTACCTGAGCCTACGTATAGTGCTTATCTACGCCCATGCTTATTTTGCGAAAAGCTTAAGAAATCAAATCGTCTCTGCTATTTTCTTTCTCTTGTTGGAATTGAAGAGAGGTCAGATTCAACTCATGATTTCCCTGTAGAAAAGAGCAAAAGGGAAAAACGAACAAACAAAGAGGAAATGCGAAGGACACTCAACCAAGCACATTTCCACCCTGTTCCAAAGGTGCGGAAATGAGAGTTTAATTGTGTTTTTTGCTACAAATTACCGAATTGGGCCTTTTCCGCAACGAATAATTGCATGCTCGAACCTTAGGCAGTGCTTCCAGCATGCTATTGATGTCCGAGAAGTTCTGCATGAGATGCACTACTGACGACCTCGACGACGTTTGGTCCTTCGCATTGGCTAATAACGGAAGAAGTAGCAGGAGTGGAAACATCTGCGAAAAAGATCTTAGACCAAATATATCACAGAATCGTTAGGCATCAGATACTAGCTAGTGGTTTTCAAGGCACTGGAAAATTGCAAAAGCTCTCGTAGTTGGAAAGTGATTGAATGAAGGCAGTTCCCTCGTTTGTGGAATTATATGGCCAAAAGGCAGCGGTCAACCCCTTCCAAACGAGTTTTTTTCCGCCCATGTTTGTTATGGTAGCGAAGCACTTCTGACAAATCAAAGGTTCTATCAATCACGGTTCATGCTATCAGTAAACATGAACATATGTGGGTGAAGAAGGAGAACAATCAAGAAGTTACGGGACGAAAGATGAAAGCCATCGGCATGATTTCAATTCTCATTCAAAAAATTGGTGGCCATTCGCTCCAGGCAATGAAATGTTCGCGCCAGTCAGTTCACAGTTCAGCGCTTCTATCCTCCCAGGTGGAACTAGTGCCACTCATTCAACCCTTAAAAGCAGCGATTGTGGTAGATTCTAGTATGGTACAAAGGGGATCCCAGGGATGCAAAATGGTACGCCAATGGCGAAAAAAAAGTCACCATGCCGATCCACGCTTCAGTTGAGTTGCTCCAGTTGTACCTGGCAAAATAGCTTGTCCAAATCGTCAACTAAACAAGTGGTCGAATCGCTGATGTGGTGGATTGCTTCGACGTTCTGTTCGCACCTTTCGTCATGAAAGCGCTACACCTCGCCTTCTTGGCTGCCAAGTTACTGCTTCTTGTGGCTCATATCCTTCCACGATGCGCTCCTTTAGCGTGATCGCTCCTTTCAAGAGGAAGGGAATATGGCTGGCTCAAGAGATAGGACGAGACCCTTTCCTGGATCCTCGAACCACATAGTGAGCGGCGCCACCTGCTATTGTGTTACCACTCCCAATTCAAGAGCTTTATAATAGAAATGATTGAATTCTTTGGGTGCGTGTCACAGAAGTTGTCCGGAGACCCGCGCTAGCTGGTTCGGGCTGCGACGCGCGGGTGACGGTGGACGAGTTTCTTGTGGAGCGTCTATTTTTGAATGCCGTTGAAGGGACTCGTCCCGTCTTTTTGCTAACAATACTTCATTAATGAAATACGATTTGCGAATGCGTGTTTAATACCGCTATATAGCACGGCAGTTAATAAATAACTCAAAATTATAATACATTTGACTCTACCATGTAACGATGGGCACAGATTTGTGCATAGCATTACGACCTATTCATTTTAATACTTAACTAGGTTTGGTTCGCACCTAAGTAAAGGTCGGCGACCTTAATTAGGTGCAAACCAGACCTAATTAAGTACAAAAAGGTGCCGCTTCTACGAGAATAATCTTTGGGAATCATGTGAATGAAGTAGACCATGAAGAATCATTGCTCCATTCGTCAACAGCCGGCGCCCAGGGCGAAAAACTGCCGCGGCACGATCGGCCGCCCGGCCAAGTTGGGAATCCGCGCGCGACGGCCGTCACTCCCCGCGACGTATTCTGATTGACGCCGCCACCCGGAAATTCTTAAGCTCTCAACCCCTAAAGAACCTTTTCTTTCATATTCGCGCCAAAAAATTATTCATGAGTTTCAACAGGCGGAATCACGAAGGTAGGATTTGCTTGGAAGAAATCTTTGAAGATAATTCCGGGATAAGATCGGAGGTCCAAGAACTGGAAATACTACAGTGCGTAAAAAAGTACATAGGTGGACACCCTAAGATTTTTCCTTCTCTGAGAAACTGTTGACTTCTGCACCATGAGATCGCCACCATTCGATTTCTCGGATACGGAAACCTTAGATTTTCTCATTTCTCACCGTTTTACATGCAGCTTTAAATTTTTTTAATTGAATGGAAAAACTTTCTCCTGTTTTCCCTGTATCAAAAGTATGTGGACACTTTTCGAAAAACAGAAATATCTTCAGAATCAAAGACTGGTAGGCCTACCAAATTCTGATAAGTTCAAACATTTTGTTCGGCATGTTCTGAACCAGGCTCCCGATACCTGTTTCGTCGAACTCTTCCCAAGCAGCTAATTTCAGCAACTTGTTAGGTCACTTGGGTACTACTTTTTCTTTAATGGCGCAGAAGCAGTGAACCACTATCCCCCTACGTTTTCAATAACGATGTGGTCTGAGGAATACGCCAGCCAATCCAGCACCCGAAACCCTCGCGTTTGCCTCCTTCCCAAATGGAATACGTGTAGGGGACCCCCTTGGGCTTGCTGCAAAACAAGTGTTTTGTGACGCTGGCTTCTCGAAAAAGGTATAAGTCGGGATCCAAGCACCTCATTATAATCCTAATTGTCTACCTGACATGCTGGCAAGCCAAACTCCAATTCCCTTCTTTTGAAACCACCCCAGACAATTGATGAACCTCCTCCGAAATGTCTCTTCGAGTACAGCTGCGGGTCACGACGAAGGTCCCTCCATTAGCAACGAGATCCACCCGAATAGCCAAAGATAAGCTTTTTCTCACCAGTCGAGGTTGTCTAAGGGGGAATTTTCCACAGAGCGTCTTTTATTCTTATCTTATAGTTTTCACAAAAGCGCTGTCTGTCCGGGTTCAACGTCTCATGTTGTGATCTTATTTTTGAACGGGAATTCCAACCTTGCCAATCTGTGCTGCGCATCCATACACGAAGCTTTCTTCATCTTCTCTCGTGTCGTGTGCTCACTCGATTGGATGGAACACCGAGTGGTATTTTTTATAAGAGGGAAGTCATTTAAGCGCGAACGCGGATAGCAGACCAAAGAAATTTTGAGACAGTACAGGCTATTCTTGTGTTGTTTTGAACAAGTAACGATTGAAGATCCCCAATCAGTGTTGGGAGCTTAGCATCAGGATTCTGGATCTCTTTCCCAAAAAACGAAAACACATCACCG